ACAAGGAGATGCTGGCAGTTAAGTGCCTACTGACCTTAAACAATAGCATCCATTTTGTGGGTTAAACAAATAAGAGAATAATGAATTGAATGAAAACCCCAAGGCTTGAGTACTGAAATTGAGGTTCAGATTACAAAATGGCTGCCTTCACCAAAGGAATGTTTTACCAATGTTCCCAACAATGCATGCAACAGTCACTTTGGTACTTTATATATATATATATATATATATATATGAAGTGTATTTTACCTTGTATCCCTTTAAAGCTGATCTGTGGACACCCCTTTAAAGTTATATTTATAATTATTATTCTCAGTTATGCTTAGAAATGTATTTTGTACATGTGAACCTTCAGGCTTCGTATCTTAAACTACTTTATTTATCCTCTACTGACACCCCATCCAGTAGCTAATGTTTGTGGCTGCTGTGTGCTGAAACAACTTTGAAGAGCAAAAGTTATATCAGCTGATTATCCAGCACATAAGGAAACAGCACTCAACTAACCACAGTATATCTGAGCCAAAGGTAATATTATTCACAGAAACCAAATCCAATTTAAAATGGATTAGGTAATACACCATTTTATCTTGTGATTTTTGAGGAGGGTAAATAAGAGTAATTCCTGAAGTCAGTATCTATAGAAGACCTGAAAGAAACAAGGATTGGATTATGCGATATGTGTGTTGTTTAGTCCAAATAAATGGACATTGTTTGAACTTCATTTGCTGAGTGCTGTTGATTTCTATCCTTCATTGACTGTTGTGCACGGCGCCATCTGTGTTTGTCACTGCAAACACCACTATTGCTACTTGGACAGGAAGCGCTGTAAGGAGTGCAGGGGGACTTACTGTTTTCTGAAAGAAACATGGCTTTTTTTTTTTTTTACTGGTCTTTGTCTTGCAAATAAAAAAAAACTCTTGAAGATCTACACAGACTGGCTTTATTCAGTAAGATCATTTCACAGTGACTGATACCCTCTAGGCACCTAACTTTTCTAAATACTGTATATTGCAATGCCTTTCCCTTCTCTGCATACAATTGTGTTGCAATGATTTACCAAACCAGGGAAGGTAGCAGGATGTGGGCCCAGTGATTGGCAGGTGTGAAGTTAACAGTAGAAAAACAAAAACTAGGGCATGAAACACACATTGGGTGCCATAATATGGTAGTGTTTTGTTTCAGTCTGCTGCTCTAGGATTTCCCCCTTCCCTGACTTCAGTAGAGTCCACATGATAAAAGACCTAGGTACGCAGTTATGTGATCACATACTAAGAGATCACAGAAAAGTGGTTTTTCTAAGCAAAGTGATTATGCTGTGCCCTCTGCTACCATCTGCTTGTTCCAAAGACTCTTCAAGTAAACTTTTGAAGACACAAACATGGGAACTGCAACTGTGGACTTGTTTTTAAAGAAGCAAGCTCTGGGTCTGTCAACCTGCGACAAGCATGCAGCCATCAAAGTTTGAATTCCTTTCCAGCATGCTTGCTTGGTAGAAAAGTCAAACTCAGGATGACAGCTCTGGAGTTTACAGCTTTACAAATTAGCAATGGCAGATTTTCTGTCCTCTTCCTATGTTCCCTTACCTTTACTGAAAAGTCTGCTTTCATCTAAAACCCTCTAAATGTACCCAATAGGAGCACTCCATTGTAAGGTGTACCTCCACATAAACCTTAAATAGAGACCGATTCCATTGACACTTTGCACCAAGCATAAATAGGGCCAACTGATCAGAAGCCGATTAATCGATTATTGAAAAAGTTGACAACTTTTTCAATAATCGATTAGTTGTTGCAGCCCTAAAACCCACATTAGGATCCATTAACGGATTATTGATTGGCAGAACAATCATAGATTGGGGTGAAAGTGTCCACGGATGAGCAATTATTTACCTGCTCAAACTGCTATTGGCCCGATAATTTTATAGGGAAGCTGTGCTGGAAAAAAATATTAATTAGAAAATATTGCATGTCATGCAGCAGTTATGGTTAAAGCACTTTATATGTCACTCTCCTGCACATGTATGAAGACCTGGAGTTCTAACTACATTCCACCTTTCATAATCTGCATACTTTTTCCTGGTCAGTGACTTAGAAAGTAGAGAAACCACAGGCAACTAGAATTAAAGAAGGAGGTCAGCAATGGCAGCCTCCAAGTGCTTCTTAGCACAGGTCTACTTTAGGTCTGTGGCAGCCTTAGAATATATGTCAGACTTCACACAGCCCAATGCAGTTCTGTGAAAGTCAGCCAATTGAGGGTTGTAAAATCACTGAACATGAGAATTTAAATTTTTCCTTGTTTTGTAAAGAATTTATGTAACCATTGGCTAAATTATAAAATTTCTTTTTCTTTGCCTTTATTCCCCTAAGCATTCACATACACTGGTTGGTGTTCTTTCTTACCGCCTACGCTGAGCACCACACAGTAGGCAGTTTATGAGGTATGGTTGTTGTCCATCAAAGAACCTGGAAAGCTAGACTTCATGACTGGTAATTCTAACCTTAACATCTAAAATTAAGACAAGCTTGATGCCACTGAATCCTAATGCAAACCTCAAAGTATTCTAATATACACTGAGTGGCCAGATTATTATGACCACCCCATCAGTACTTTGTTGGGCCACGAGATGTTGAAAGGTGATGCGAGGAATCTGACACTGCACCGTTGCCCTTCTGTTGTCTTGCACCAGTCTTGCCACTCTCCGTTCTGACCTAAGATTGACTAGTCGCTGACGGCCACAATTCGCACGTTCAGACCCAGATTTTTGGCTGACAGTCCAGTCTTTAAACACTTTAACAACAGCTGCTCTTGAACATTTAACAAATTCTGCTGTTTAGCTGATACTCGCTCCATGGCTCAGAGCGCCAACAATCATCCCACGTTCAAAGGCTGTTAAATCGCGTTGTTTACCCATATCTTCAGAAAAAAATCACTTCTACTGTCGTGGTAAACAACCTGCTTCCCTATTTATAATGGCCTGGCACTCTAGCAACTTCAGCGCGAAATTATAGCTAATTATAGCTAATTTGCCTACAAACGTCAGGTGGTCATAATAATCTGGCCACTCAGTGTATAAGAATACTGTGTCAGTTGTCTGGCCATTTTGTGCAGCAAATCAAAGCACATGGAAATGCAGTCCATCAGTTCACAAGACACGTGTGCCTAAATATAGCATAGTGGATTGGCTGACTGCATTATTATGATTTTGGCTTAACTCTCAAAATGGTTGCCTCCACTCCTAAAACCTTAAAGAAGTTGTCCACTCCCTTGAAAATGAATATGGTAAACATAAAATGTTCTCTCTGCTGTCAGCTATACCAGCATCTAATGCATTAGAATTGGCCATTCACAACAGCAGTGCTTGGAGGAGGTCAAGGAATCAAGGACACCAATTCCTATGCCAATCTTGGCAATTAGAGGAATGGTCTTCACTTAGCTTTAAGCATGTAATCATTTGCTTTACCCAGGGGTAGGGGAATGTTTACCACATACTATTTACTAAAGAGTGGATAAAGAATTACACATGTAGGTCAAGGGCTTTAGAACAAAACGATGACTTGAATACCAAGCCATTCATTTACATGTGAAGACAAATGTTGAACAAGGACATTTTAAATTGCTGTAAGAGGTACCAATATCCTTTCATACTAGTAATCTAAATCTACAATGGGCTCAGATGGTACGATCTTCAACAAATCTGGGCATGTGTAAGGTATGCAGCACCAAACAAAAGTCCATGGACCCATCGCACTCCTGACCACCTGCTCCACAAGAATCAGATGGGTGCTGCGGTAGTCAATGGATGGCAACTGTTACATGCATAGATTGAAACAGGGACACCGGCACTCCAAATGCAGTTCAGATGTGTCTGTCTGGGAGACCCCGAAACGTTGCACCAGTGTGATATGCTGCATCTACGTCAATAGACACATTTGAACTGCATTTGGAGTACCATTGTCCCTGTTTCCATCTAGGTATGCAGCACCAACACCAATCTTTAGGAATGTGTTGAAGATAGTAGCGGCAACTGCATAGTGACAATAGAACATCCAATGCAGTCATCCCTTCTGACCTGGCCCCTAGGATTCCTTTTGCCAATTATTTGAGCATGTTAAAAGTACCCAGGGCATGGCGGTGCCAGGTTGTAAGCTATAAGCGTGACTAATTCCTGGAATGCAATTTTGAGCACTTGAGGAACATCCCAACAGCTGTTTGGAGCATAATCCAAAAACGGTGTTTAGCTAAATATTGTCCCCGCCCTACAAGCCCAATATCCGTGACTAACATTTTCACTTTCAATAACCCTTCATTTTCCAGAGCAATGTGTAAACAGATCTTCCACAAACTAACTGTTTTAGGTTTAGCCTGTAAGGGTAATGTGTAGAAAACATATGTCTGCAGAAGTGCATACAGCGGTTTATGAATTAAAAACAAATTGTTCTTACTATAATACTTTGTGATGTGATGAGGTCTAGTAATGACAAAAAAAGAGCACATAAAACATAATAAAAAAAACATGAGGAAATAAACACAAACAAGTAGTCAAGCCACAAACGTTAAGTCCTTTTGCGCAGTGCCTTTAAACAGTAATGGTATGAAAGATTTATTGTAAAAAGGCACAGTATAGAATCTGTATATAAAAACAAAAAATATATACTCAACATTCTTATTCACGCTGGGCCTGAGTCATTATAAAAATGGAGATACTCCTACACAAAATCAATAACACTGATCAAAGAGCAGTGGGATTCAGTAACGGCTTGCAACATGCGCTAGGTCTAAGCTAGGCTGCTCAAAGCCAATCTGATTGGTTACTGCATGTCACCGCCTACCACTGCTCTTTTGTACTGTGTTATTAAGGAAGCCCAATGGCATTTTTTATTAGAGTATGTTCATAAGGCAAAAAAAAAATTATTATTTTTGTTTAAATGTTTTCTGTCACTATAGGATAAATGGATATTTAAAAAAAAAAACCTTTATACATATTGAACATTTCATTTCTAAAATCTCTTAATTTGAGGGGTTTTTGTTGATTTTGGTATTTAAAAATATTTATGTGTTTAGCACCACTTTAGTTTCCTAACCTGAGAAGCATTTGAACCAATAAAATATGGCTGACATATAGTCCAATATCCTGTCATCAGTTTATATATTTCCCTTTAAAAGAGATTGTGTACGTAAATAAGAAAAGAAAACATACAATAACAACCAAAGCAAGTCATGTTATGATATTGTGGAGGTGGCAATTGCGAATCTGTAGGGAGTGTACGCAAGTCTTGCTGTGACCCTGGTTTTACTGACATCAGCTGCTGTGATGCATGGCATCCGGGGTATTATGTGTTCTGGCTGTTATCTGTGCAGACTGGACAGCAGTATCCTTCCTTTAATACTGGCACCAAGCAAAGAGTGGGAGGGCAGGATTCCACAAAACATGTCATTGAGCCATTCTGAAAAACAAACCATCAGTGTTAATTAGATATAAAACAGCTGGAATCATGAATGAACCATGAAGGTGACGGTAAGGTCAAACTTAAGTGGCCAAAAATGGAGTGGCTTTCAATGGAGCTGGGTAAACCATGCCAAATAAAACAGAGGCAGTTCAGAAATATGAAAAATTAAATACTGGCCTCTGGTTTAGGCCCCTTCACACGAGTGCCGTCCATTCTGATCAGCAAGGGATCTGTGCACATCTGATCCATGCTGATCAGAGCAGTATGGAACGGATATCACTTTTGTGACATCCATTAGGGATGGGCCGAGTGTTCTATTCAAACATGAGTTTGAATCGACATCGGCAGCTCGAGCGCTCGCTGAACTTTATGGGATGTTCGCGGTTTGTTCCACCGCGGACATTCCATAATACAAAATGCCCACTGAAGCTCTGATTTGTTAAAAGTCTTGCACCTGACCACAGGTCAGGTGCAAGACTTTGCCCAATCAGGGCTCAGCGGAGGAGGGGCCTGAAGGAGAAAGTTCTCTATCAGGTCCCCCCATGCTGATTGACAGCAGGCAGTGGGCAGGTGCAATAGCCAGCTTGCTATTGGCTATTGCATTTTACAATATCCAATAGAAGGCTGCGTATGGCTCAAAGCCTGCAGATCAAGAGGAGGCAGGGGGGCGGGGCAGAGGAGAAGCGGCCGGACCAGGGGAGCAGAGGAGAAGCGGCCGGACCGGAGGAAGGAGGAGCCGACGGACCGGAGTAAGAGGAGTGGAGGAAGAGGAGTGGACGAACCAGGAGAAGAGGAGCATACGGACCCGGGAAGAGGAGCGGATGGACCGGCAGAAGAGGCGGCGCGGACGGACAGGAAGAAGACGAGGTGCCGCGGCCGGACGGGGGAACGGAGAAGCCGACGGACCAGGGGAAGACAGCAGCAGAGGTACGGGGGCAGCGAAGCAATGCAGCGGTCTGTGTCACCACTGCCTCCGCCAACACAGGCGGGGAGAACATCGGGGATTTGAAGGGACACAGGCCGCTGCAGCCACATGTACCGGCAGCTGTATGGGGGTCGAACATTCGACACTTACATTGAGTTTGAACTCGAACATTTCGGCAGTTCGAATATGAACCAAACACAGGGGTGTTCGGCTCATCCGTAACATCCATGTCCTTACTTATTTTTCCTCCATCGCCAGATGAAAAAAGAAATTGAACCAACTGTACCAGTGTAAGGTTCATGGGCAGTCAGATGTAAGCAGACATGTGTCCGTTTACATCTGATTACACCTGATATGTGACCATCGGGCCCGCCAAAACAGAAATCTGTTCCATTTTGTTTTCCGGACATAGACAAAGTCAGGGGGTAATCAGATGTATACAGACACATGTCCTGTTAGATTTGGCTGTCGATGGACTTTCCAATCACTCAGACATGATCGGACAGTCCATCTAAAATGGGCCTAAAGGCTCATGCAAAAAGGCGTATTGCAGGAGAAATTATTTCTCTTTCTACTCTTGTGGACATAACAACTAGTTTATAGTATAGCACACTTATAACCCAAAATGATGGCCTATGAATATAACCTAACATTACAGCTCATCGATTGAAAATGTGGCTTCTACATGTTTGGGGGTTTATTGTAAAGTTATAGTTTTATATTAACAAAAATGTCTAGCATGAGTATAAAAACTGCATGTATAACTTTATTTATATACATTTCTAAGTGTGGCAAAGGCAGAGATGCCAGTTAAGAAAACTATGAAGGTAAGAGAATTTGTAAGCTGACTTTTTAGAGTTCAGGAGTTTCTAGTGAAGGGCACAGTTAATACAACAGCATTCAAAAAAAACATTTCATTCAATTGTGATTTTCCAACCTTGTGGCAACAATTTTGGGAAGGCCCTTTTTCTATTCCAGCATGACCGTGCCCCATGTACATTTCCATAAAAACATTGTTTGATGAGTTTGGTGTGGAGGAACTCGAGAGTCCTAACCTCAACCCTACTGAACATCTTTGTGATTAGTTGGAATGCCGAATGCAAGCAAGGACCTTTTGCCCAACATCAGTACCAGAGCTCACGAATGCTCTTTTGGCCGAATGGGCACAAATCCCCATGGACACACTTCAAAAGCTTGTGGAAAACCTTCATAGATGAGTGGAGGATGTTATAGCGATTGTTAAAAAATAAGCTGCAACAGGAACAGTCAAATTTACCTGTAAATGTTGACAAAAGTGAGCAGACCTCCCCAAATAGCAGCTGGCCAAACTTTAACACAGCCATATATACATTGTTTTAAGAACACATATATAGGTATTTCTTATTGCTACGTACTTTACATTCACATTTTGTACACGGATCTTTTTTCCATCTTTCATTAGTGGCATATGATTTTCCAGTTTCATCAGTGCAGTCTGTGTTGCTTAAGCGAGATTCGAGGTTCTTGATCTGAAAATAAAAAATTATGACGACACTATGAACGGAAGTACATGAGGCTGGACAAAGATATCAGCTGGTGAAAGGCTGTATGGGCAGCATGTGACTGCTGAAAGATCTTAAGTGTCTGTGTAGACAGGCTTTGGAACTGTGTCACTGGCATCAGTTTAACATTAGTTTGAGATGCTTCAGAGATCATTCACAATTCACCGACAGGTGCATTTGCCCTGCAGCTGATCTTCTGCAGACAGGCATTTTAGCTGCAGCTCACCTCCTCCTGACCGGCATCTGACCTGCATTTGATTTGCTTTAACCTCCCTGGCGGTATGATTATTTCCTCTTTTTTTTTCGTTTTTAAATTCCCGCCGACTCCGCCCCCTTGTGACGCGGACGCTCGCAAGGGACGGAACCCAAAAGAAAGATGCTGGCATCGGCCTGAGGACAAAGCACAGCTCGAGTGACAAGGTAAGAGACGCGGTTACCGCTTATGGTACTGAAAATGAACCCTGAGCCACACTCGGGAATACCGCCAGGAATGTTAATGAGGATTTGAATTGCCATAGACAGGTCCTTAATATGGAGAGTGCAGCCATACACCTCTGGTAGTAGGCAAGCAATAATCTTTCAAAAACTACTGTTGTCTGATGACACCTGTAGGCATGAGGGCTATCACCTGAGTCCACTGAATTTCATGCTATAGGTACCTTTAGCAGATTATGGCAATAGGGGGGAAATCATAGCAATTGCTGTTTGAACTTGCATATGGTTGCATGGGATATATTTGCACTAGATTTATGATGCTGGTGTAATGTTCATAAATGAGGTTAAATAGACTCCAGGAAAGAAGACTTGTAACTCCAGGCAAAAAGCTTCACTGTCGCTTCTTGAGGAAGTGGTCATGGGGACTGTGCCGCCCCAATGGGGCATAGAATATGTTGTAGAAGTTAGTATAGATAGAAGTTTAACATAGTGTGTTTGCCTATATATTTTCTCATAGTTAAATCCATGTGTTATCCTATGCTGCCATCTAGTGGCCTTTGTGATATCACACATGTCTTTTCTGTATTTCTTGAGAGAGAGGGTATACAGGGAGAGAGAGGGTATACAGAGAGAGAGAGGGTATACAGAGAAAAATACACAGAGAGGATATAATGTAAAAGAAGATGGACAGAGGGAGACCTACTGTGGAAAAACGTGTGATCTGCTTGCAGCATCCTTCTCACTGTATAGTAGCTCTAAATTCTTCAGAGTTTGCCGCCCACTATTTCCTGCTTCCTGGTCACATGTTTCCTGTGACTTCACAGGGCAAATGATGCTACCGAGATCAAAGGGAGTTCGTATACTGAACTCCCTTTGATCTCCTGCCACAGGGAAGCTGCTCGTCGGGCTCCACTGTCTGCTCGTCACAGACGAGTGGACGAGTGGATTTTTCGAGCCCTGACTATAACCGTTCAACTGCTGTTCCTATCATCTGCTGTAACCTGATGTTAAAGAATAAACACCTCTTTTGAATGAATCGGTATTGACGAGTTCAGCTATCTGACGAGGATTGTCCGCAGTGAGTATATCTGCTTATACAGGCCAGGCATAGAGGTCTCAGCAAGGGATATATTTCGCTATCACAACGATCGGAGTCAGAATAGGGACTTCTTAAGTAGCGATTGTTTTGTCAGGTGATGCTCCAGTTTCAGACAGCCGCAGAACAAGTGCAGATGGAAACAGGCGCAAAACACGTGCAATTGGAAAAGTAGTGCAAGCTCAGGTGAAAACAGGGGCACATGCTAAAAGACAAATTTGCACATAAAAAAATGATGTAAGAGGCTAAAACTGTCATAATTGCTTTGATAAATTCCTCCCAGTGAGATTAAACCTGAACTCCAGGTAAACCGTAACATACACAGATGAAATGTATATATGGAGTCTGCCAAAAGATTTGTTTTTCTGTAAATTCACTCCTGAGATTTACACAGCTCTGCCACACAGCATAGTCCTGTCTAGCGGGGGCAGCAGACCTGATTTTTCTCTGCTGCAGTGATACATACAGGTCTTCTCCCTTTCACCAGCCCGTGACTGGACTATGAAAGAAGCAACAGCAGACCGATGAGCTTATCCTTCTGCTCTCTCCTCCTATAAGCATGATCCAAGCACTGCAGCACAAATGTACACCAGAGCTCAGACTGGGGAGGGATAAGCAGCACAAGGAGCCAAACACCAGGTCAAAGTCAGGTATTTACACTGCTTACATTTATATAATATGCGCAAAGCAGTTCATTCATCATAGCACCCAGCAGATGCCAGGATTGAAGATGGAGCTGCGCAAGCACAGCTCTCTGTACAGTTTCGGAGGTTTGCAAGGAGAAAGGTATGAATCCTCTACTGCATAATAAAACATAAACGTTTTACATTAGACTAAAGTTTCACTTTAAGGATGTATTAATGAATATACAGTAGAGCCGCACTGAGTTGTGTCTTTTATACTGTATCTGCCAGGACTTCAGCTATAAGCAAAAAAACGAGTATCCCATATCAACCAATCAGAAGTCATCATTCATCCAAAGTCTAGAACATCTGAAATTTAGCAGCTATGATAACTGCACTGTGCACTTCAGCTTTGCACTCTGCTGTTCCTTCAGCCCACAAGTTATTTCACACTGGGTAATGTACGCATAGTATGTATGTGAGCGTACCTGTTTCCTTAGACTTGTTATTATCTTTTGCAAATCAAGCACAAACTCTTTAAAGTCACTGACTGGTGGCAGATTGGCCGGTTGCTTGGTGTGTTGAGTTGTGTTCACAATATTCTCTTGCAAGCTGGAAAAAGGCACATAGAACTGTCAAACTGAGTACTTGTAAAGTAACACCAAATCGCAACGAACCATCATTTTCCAGAATCCCCTAACATATCCTTAAAACCTTTGAAGCATAGTAACATACAGAAGTAAAAAGCACTCACCTTTATGTGCATGATCCGCCAAAGTAAATTCCAGCATTGTGCATGTAAATGGCAATGTATAGTGCTTTGGATACAGGTTATTTATTTTTTTATGTTCATAAAGCTTTAAAAAATATTTACTTAAGTATACAGAGTGCCCCACATGTCTGGATCTATAGGCATCGAATCATTGGAAATCATCATTTCTATCTCTATAAAGTGCAGCTGCTCCGGGAGTGGTGACAACACAGGCGTATTAAATATTGTGATTGGTTCTTAAAAAAACGGCGGGAATTAATGTCGTTTTACAACGATGAAGACTCATTTCATCTCAATGGTATTGTGTAAACCAATGAATGTTACTGGCCTGGAAATAACTCAAACCAAAAACAACCATACATCAGTTCTCCTACATTAGGACATGTTCAGTGTTCTTGTAATTCGCCCATACACAAGTTTTGCAAAGTCTGAGCCCATCGATTTGAACATTTACTGTAATAAAAAATACATTTTTGCCTATGGGACATCCTTTATATTAAACAGTGCCCTTTAAGAATGGGTATTATTAACTAAGGTGTTTAAAGGGTTTGTTCACCTTTTCACTTAGAAATAAAAGCTGAACTCACAACACCCTAATCACCTCCCTGGCCCTCACTGCACTTCTTAGCTGCAACCAGTATATTGTTCCTGACATTTGCATACTTCACTCTAAAGCCCTGGTCAGTGTGGTTACATGAAGTCGGCTCAGAAATGATTCTCACTTGAAAAGGTTCCAACACTTGAAAAATTCACTACACAAAATTGGAGGTTGAATAACAATACGATGCTTGCAATACGGAGTGGTAATTGTTCAGTGTGGCCACATGACCATGCTAACCAATGATAATTTCCCACTGCAAGAATGATATTGCTATACAGCCTCCAGTGCTGTGTAGTGAAGTTTTCAAGCGTCGGGACAGTTTCAAGTTTTGGGTCATCCTTGCAATGGGGACTAGGGAGGGGGGCTTGTGTTAGCCTATTGTTCATCTACATGGACACAAAGGCAAGTATAAATTGCAGTTACTCTGACATTACATCATTTCCCAGCTTTAATTATTTTCTCAATAAAATTACCTAGACTCCTCTTCAGTGACATGAGGTTCCTCTGCTTTTTCCTCCTTATAGCTGTGTTCCAGGGAGCGTTTACCTCTGAATTGGCCTGAGAAGGAACTAAACTGTCCTCTTGACCTACAATCTGAATACACACAAGCCAACAGTGAAATACATACACCACACTACTGGTGTTATTTCAAGTGGAACTCAAGCAAAGTGGACAACAAATCTGGTTTTGTTACTGCCCGAGTCCCCATGGGGGAGATTTCCTTTTACTTCCAGTCCTGATGACTGGTGTCACTGGGACAGTAAGTAAGGAGGTATCTCCCCAACACAGACAACAACAGAAACAGAGGCACTGGTGAGGTAGCCTTCCCAGGGTGCAGCGGTGAGGCCCGGTCTATGTCACTACGGTAGTGCCTCAATTAACCATGAAAATGAAATGTAAGTAACAGGATAAATGTTTGCTTTGCACATGTTTTTGGATCAATATTCAGAGGTGCATGCATCATGAATTTTTAGTGTTGGGGGGTAAAAGGTCCACTTTAACACTCTATAAAACAAAATTAAATAAAAATTAAACAGTTACATGGTTCAGATAGGTTGGACTAGCCAACAGTAAATATTGTTTTTTTTCAAAGTGCATCAAAGCAAAATTTGCAGTAAATTAGAAGAAAAAGATAATACCAGCTGGAAAAAATAAATGAAAAGTAGAATGTTTGCCTGGTGCAATCACTTAGATTTAAAGCTGAAGTTTGGATAAGCAAATATCTAAATACAGAGGCATGTGTATTTTTACTTCAATCTTGGTGTTTTGTGTATTTCTTTCAGATCTGTGCAGTAGTCCAGTGTAAAACTTTGCATATGTGCATGAGCTTCCTGAAATAAAGACCGGTCAGTGCTGTTCTCTTCTGTAGGTGCAAAGTGTCTAGTATTCGCCCCCTTTGCAGTTTTCTGCAGTCAGCCTGTAGTGGGTGGAGCCTGCCGGACTCCTCCCACAGCTCTGCTCCCTGCACAGGCCATGTACAGCACAGTGATGATGTTACTATTACTTTTAGAAGGTAATAAGAGATGGACCTAAACCTAGATGGACCTGTGTCTGTATTTAACCTTGCCTACTATGTTACTATCATTTGCAAAGACATTTGGTGCAAACATCATGGATTTATATCATTTGTGGCTTTTGAAGAATATATTGAAATTAAGGATTTTGTGTAGGAGTTAAACTTCACAGCAAACCTATGGTTTGCCCATCTGCTCTCCAGCCACTCCATTCATCACGGGGACCAGAAAGAAACACCAGGGTATAGATAAACATGTGACAGCATTGTACCAATCAGCAATGTCAAACGTGGCGTCCATAGCTTTGTGTAAACTACTACTCTGTCGACCTGTAGCTTACAATGGTCATTTATTTGCTCCCAGCAACTGAACAGAGCAGTCTGAGGAACACAATATAAGTGTTTACTGCTGTGGGAAGGGTGTTTTAATGTGACCCTGTTGCTTTTCCATGCATGACCACAAAACACAAGTTAACTTTAAGCTTTTGATTTGTTTTTGCATGAAATAAAGCAAATAAGTGTTTTCATGGGCAGCACAATCCTCAAGATTCATACAAATTAGTTGAGGATGATATATGAACTTCACCTTCACAACAGTCCTGCCACATCCTTAGGTCCATTTTGGGGATCTTTTTGCAGTCAACATAGCCATGAGGAAGTTCAGCAACTCTAAACACGTCAGGCTGCACATTGGTGATGTTGTCCCCATTGTCACACAGAATTCTTGCGAGAGATGTCTGCTTGATCTGGGTCAGTTGCGCAGGGGTGAACACACCAGGATTTTCATGCCACAACCTGTTGTACCAAAATGATACCTGTGACTATATTGTTCTGTTTTACAACAACGCTATATGCAGAGTAATTAATGCTACATAAAATCTATTTAGTGCTGGTGAGTTTTCCATCCTGGACCATATGTGGATAATTCAGTGGTGTCCAAAGATAGTGAGACAGGAATCACAGTCTCATCAAAAGTGCTAACACAAACACATTAAAACACACACAATTTTACATGATAAAAATTAGGTTGTGTTGAGTAAATAGATACCACATATGTCAAGCCTCATAAATGCATGCACCCATAAAACAAACTAGAATACCAGAAATTGCTTAAAACTCTTTACACTGCATCAGGCAGGGGATCAGGGGATGGGAGGGGGGGGTGCACCACGGTATAAATGTAGAATCACACTAACAAAAAAAACAGCAGTACAGTAAAACAAACATGTAATCTAATGGCTGCTATTTGTATGCATCCCATTACTGCAACAATATTGTGTACCTCAAGCTTTTACAAAGCATCATTGAAGCTTCCAGCTCCAGCGTTGAACAGCTTTTGAAGGTTTTAAAGCAACATTTAGCTCCACTGCAGGGATGTTAAACACAGATAATAAAATGCAGGCTGTCACATTAAACAAGCTGCTAGAAGGCTCCACAGGCATCCAATAGGTTCAATAAGTAGCGCTGAAGCCCACTAACTGCTTGTTTAAAATCACAGATGGTGACTTTCATTACCATTTGCATTTAACCATCCCAAACGTGAGCCAATAGTGGTTTCACAGGCTTCAAAAATTTGCTTAACGCTGGCTGAAACCTTTGTAAATGTTTTATAAAAGCATGTTGGACACACTGCTTTAATACAAAATGAACACCAAGTGTGCAAGGCTTAAACCCAAAAAAATGAAAATATGTTGCCTCTGAGCATTGCTAAAATATGGTGGCTGCATTAGTTTTTTTTTGGGGCTTTTTTCTCTCTTTAATTTGGCCAGTAACACACGTCCTATCATAGGGTGGCTCCGCTCTATGGAGAAGCAACAGAGCCACACTTGGACAGAAACATGGTCACCTTGTGGAGAGAGAAGTGTTAGATCTACTAGCAGATTTAGATGGACTTGACTAATAAATTAAATCTGTACTTCAACTCAGTGGCGTCACAAGGGGGGTGCGGGCCGCACCGGCTTCCACCATTGGAGGGGTGACACCAAAATGACAGACCGTCATTTTGGTGTCACCCCCTATGAAAAGTCGGGGACTCGGTCACGGACCGAGAGCCCGACAGTGTCAGGAGAGAGCTGCATACCTCATCCTGCCGTGTGAACGTCCCCTCCTCTCTCTGCCGGCGTCCATCACCAAGATAGACGCCGGCAGGGGTCAATAAGACAACCGCGCATGCGTGATGACATCACGGTGGGGTGTCACCCGGTCTCCGCTCCGGGTTGGAGTCCTTTTGAAGAAGTCACCCAGCCTCGGGACGCCCCTGCTTCAACTAACACGTCTTAAGCAGCTACAGCAACTGTTTCTCCCCCCATTTGGGAAAACGTTTCTACATAAATTATTAAAGCTGACCATTTGCAAGTGCCCCTGTCAGTGTTAAATGGTTTGTCTCAACCCTCTATCTGCCACTTTTGCGGGACATTTTGGCCTGTTAAATGGAAGTTGAAAAATAACAGACTTATTGGGCGGATCACCAGTTGAAAATAAAGCAAAACAATGGATTTTGTGAATGTTTTTGTTATATGTGACACTAAATAAACATGTTTTGTAAAGACAAGTTTTAAATTGGCTGTGGTTAACACCTATGAAGCCTCAAATAGAATATTTGTGTGTGAAAATGAAGTAAAAAAAAAAGAAAAGAAAACTAATGCAGCCACCACATTTAAAGTGAAACTAAACTCGGGAGTTAAATCTTAAAAATACATTCAAGTACCTGAACTATTAACAAAAATGCATCTTATTTGTCTATCACTGAGCTGTAGATCCTCAAATCATCTCTTTAATGGTGCCGACACTGTCCTTCCTTCTCGAGGGGGGCTACTTTTGTTCCCCATGGTCCCTGTGTGTGTTGAAAAGTAGCCACCGCTCCAAGCTCACTTCCATGATGGACTCACATCTGACTTTTAGTTTACTAATTTGTATTGAGATTGTAGTCCATCACAGGAGTGAGCTTGGAGCGGTGTCTACTTTACAACACACATAGGGACCATGGGCAACAAAAGTGGCCACTCTCCAGAAGGAAAGACAGTGTCAGCACCAATTCAGAGATGATTTAAGGATCTACACCCGGGTGTTACACAGATAAGATACATTATTGTTACTAAGGTGAGCTACTTCAATGCATTTTTAAAATGTAACTCCTGAGTTTAATGTCACATTCAGGATTGGTAAACTGCAATTATTAAAATTTAGATATGCTTTAAGAAATGTGCATCTCCAAAAGAACTACAACACGTATGGTGCATAAAAATATCAAAGAACAAACAAAAGAAAAACAGCCTCTGATGTTTGTAAAATCAAGAAAATAAAATTAAAACAAGAAAACATCTACAAGAACATACAAAACAGAAAATGACAGTAACCTGGTTCACTAATTCTTACCTGTCTCCATCTCTTATGTTTCTAAACTGAGTAGTTAGTAGACACATGAGTGTTGGTCCCAGCCGACTTCCGGGAATGATGTCCTCCACCATAAGTGCAGGGAAGAGATCAATATTTAATGGTGAGCCATATAACCTGAAGATAAAACCATAAGTCTAAAACATCATGCATTCATGAACGTCATTTATCATGAACTACTGCTTCATACGTTTTATAAGCTGCTTGGGTTATTGTTAGAGAAACATGGAGGCTGCCATTGCTGACCTCATCTTATGAAAACACTGAATGCCTGGCTATTATGCTGAACCTAGATTCAGTACTTTCAGATGATGACCTACAACAAGATTCAGATGGAGATTTCTGACTTTTCTTAATTGGTGTTGCAGGGGAACACATTTTTTTTTCTTAATCACAAAGAGTTCATACTGTGCAGTGTGACTGCTTTCTTGTTCTTGGACATTAGTGTGAACAATGCTGAAGATATTAAAACTCGTGGGCAGTTAGAACAAACGTGCAACTAGTATTTGGTTAAGGAGAGGGGCAACAATGGGTTTGGTCGAAACATGTTTATTTCGTCACATGATCATTTTAGTATGCATTCACATGCCAAGATAGTGCATAAGTTTTGTCATTTTTATCTGTCTTCTTATTTTTTAAAGGAGTTTTATTTTCGGTTTACAAAAACAAAGTATAAAAATAGTAACCGCAGTAACTACTGCAGGAAACAACCAGAACCGGGGATATGCAGAGCCCATAACAAATTCAACACTACAGAACAGACATTAACAAACAGAACACAGCCGAACCATACAACACACAAGCTCTCCGCCCTCTGCTCAGCCCTAGAGTGTAGACAACAAGCAGCAAGATAACAAAGGAAAGGAAGGGATGGCTAAGTTCACAATGTAAAGCAAAAACATCTGCATATGAGCTGTGGCTGGGGTAGGCTCCATCTGAATGAATACAGAAGAATCCAAAAATGGTTACCAAATTTTGTAAAACTTTTGTGAGCATGCTCTACCTTGGAAAATAATTTTGAGTTTTTCGAAGTTCCAAGTTCACCTGGCAAGCACCTGTGGCACGGTAGGAGGAAGGTCACTTTTGCAGTTGAGCAAAATGGCTTTCCTAACTTGAAGGAAAATCAGCCCATACATAACTAAGGTTATGAGTTACAAAATCATCCAATATTCCAAGAAGGCAAACGTCAGGGGTCTTTGGGGTCATTTCTCATATTTAATAGTCATTGAACCACTGAAAGGCTTTAGTGCTGATGAATAATCTTTCCCTGAAAGTGCCTCATAGTAAAATCCAGTCAGAAGGTACAAGTACAAAAGAAGAAATTTGGCCGCCAATTAAAAAACAAGTGATGCAGCACTTTGGTGTCCTGCAAAGCATACTTCCCAACTTTCTGAGATGAGAAAGAGGGACAACTTTCAGCACACTGTATGTAGGCAATGGACATACTCCTTCCACATCCCCAGTTATGTGGACCATTAAGTATTTATATACCAAAAATTATTGGTTACACTCAGAATAGTTTTTCACCATTACTTTTCCTTTAGGGCCCATTCACACCACATCCAGATCATCTCCAGACCAGACCAGACCAGATTGTTTCCGGACCCAAAATGCATCCTAATGCATCCCTATGCTATTTCTGGCCCCTGTTCACACCAGTGCAGTCCATTCCGGACCAGACCAGAAAAATGCTGCTCGTCTTATAATGTCTGGTCTGGAATGCACTGGAACTGCGGCAGGTTCACACCATTTTTTGGACCAGATCTGGTTGCTTTTCAAAACGGCAAACAAGACAATTAAGAGATCAGATAAAACTTTTGGTAGTTAAATAGTACATCATAGATATCTGTACATTGGACAACAAAGTGGACAACTGAGGAGGAAAGAGGGACAAAGGGATTTGGTTCTAAAGGAAGCCAAATGTCACCAGCACACCGGAAGAGCTAATCAAGTGAACATCCTTTATAGATGGAAGTTGTCAGATTGTTTGCTACCAATCTGTCTGATCCTGACCCCCTCATGCCTCATCATTGTTCAATGAGACCTCCAATATCATTGCTGGACCAAGATAACGGATCAACCAATGTGATGCAATGTGTACAAACAACATGAGCTGACTTTATAGTGTGCAGCATTCTAAACTATAATGTAAATACAGATAAAGAGCTCTGGGAAAGCAGAGCTCAAGACTCAACTTGAATGTCTTTTCAACTTGAATGACTTCTCTTGTAAAATTTAAGGATGAATTGCTCCACAGTGTTTTCGCCAACAGAGGGCTTGATTTAAAGTTAATTTGCTGTTTGGTAGGAATATGTAAATACTTGAATGTACATACCCTGGCCAAAGGTTTACTTTAAGGACTTTATCCATTGGTAACCACAATACAACTGTTATTTCCCCTTGAACAATTGCTCTTAATATGAGAATGTTGCAAGAATAAGTAACAGAAAACTAGAAATGAGTTATTGTCACATTAACCGACACATACTGACACTGCTAAACTTGCATCTAAGCATCAAAACACTTGAAATTGATGGAGACCTGAGTTTTTAGGGATATCTACAGACATCCCATAGACCCCCCTACAATGGAATTCACTCAAACACTAACAATAGGTGCAAAAAAGCAAAATATACCCTTACAGTACGTTTCATGCCATTATGTCAAGTGAACATTACTTATATAGTTAAAATGTACCTTCTTATTTTTTCAATTACATCTGGATTCTTGATTTCATTCCTTAGATCTTCAAAGGTATGTGCTGAGGAAAGATTGCAGTAAACTCTGAAGTCATGGTAAGGTGGAATTCCATGGTCCCGTCCCCTCTGGATGTTGATAGCTGCCAAGTCCAAGGCTACAGTGTGTGCCATTGAAAAAAGCTTCTCTGTCAGCTCTGTATTTAACAGCTGGGAGGTAACTCGCATTTTCCCAGCAACGCCAAAAAGACCTCGGAGGAGAGGATCTATTCCCCCTTCATTTACAATTCTATAAGGAGAGAAGAAAGCCCTGTGTAGAGGTAAATGTCCTTGAGGAATTGGATCAAATTTTTCATCTAGTCTGTAAAGAATAGGATTTATCAGGGTGTGACCAAATCTAAACGCAGCTGTAGCAAACTCATTCAGAATGCCGGCATTGATATTTGGGTTATATCCCTTGTATTCACCAAGCATTTTCATGCCAAAGTCTCCAAAAATCTTTGGCAGCCAATGAGAATATGTTATGTGCTGCATTTCAGCTCCCACTATTTTACGAGTTTCATGGTAAATTGTATCACCGTCCCAATGTGGGTTCAGTCTCAACAATTCGGCAGCAATTCTATTATGTTCTCTAAACCACAGTGTATGCATACTAGTTAGACCAAGCTGCTCGTTGGCTCTAAAGTCACCAGCTAAAAAGCATGGAATGGGACTTTCATTTTCATCCCTCATGCACTCAGTGGGAGGCCCAGTGGCAAAAGGAAGGAGCGGTTTTCCAGATCTTTGAACAATGCCTTGTTTTAAGAGTCCCCGATGGCTTGCTGAATCTCTGATCTCTTGAGATTCATGGTCTGAGCTACCATATACATTGGAAGCATCAATGTAAGAGGTCAACTGGTTCATCTGTTCCCGGGGATAGACAGAATTCATTAACAATGAGGTCATTCCACTTCCACAAACGGGACTAGAACGGACAAAGAACATACAACGAGCGCCATTCCTCACTCGTGGGTCATTTGCTGGAATTGTAAGAGGAAAGCAAGGTGCATCATTTGTGCAGACCACGCTGCAATCCTGGCCATCAGAAAATCTAGCCTGGCTTAAGGCAACTACTGTAGAATCCAAGTCATGGTCAAGGAACTGTCCCCATTGCATTAACATGTGAGTATACTGCTCATCCGGAGTTATAGTATGAGTTCCAATCAAAGTAGTTGAAACTGTACGAGGTAAAGGAAGGGGATACCCATTATATAATCTATTGTACACGCCTCTTGGCAAATTAAAACCATTCTCATATACAGATTTCAGCAGACGCTCGAAGGCCGTCAGGGAGGCTCCCCACATTGGGTGCTGCAGGTTATTACAGGTGCCATCATGGGTTCTGTATTTCTGGTGAAAACACATGTTGGAGCAATTATTTATCTTTCGATGGGCTCTACAACCTGAGAGGTTGGCAATCAGGTTAAGATAATGAGGAGAAACCAGATCATTGTAGTGATAGCCTAGAAATAAAAATATAAAACACTTCAGTTAAACATCTTGCTGAATTTGCAAACAATTGTATATGATAACATAATTTATATTCAAACTGGTGGCCTGTTCCAAGTCATTTTTTGCTTTAGGACTTTTCTTCATTCACAGATTCAGTTAAATTAAATGATAAACATTTGAAAACACACTTAGTGTTATGCAATGAGGAGGTACAAACCATTACAAGTCATATTAGTGACATGATTGCTGACTGGTTACTTTGGGTAACTTAAAAGTGGTATTTGCTTTATATGTGTAGTTTGGTGGGCTGGGTCTCCTCTTTTGTACTTATTTCATTTAGGCCTTAGCTCCTACCATGATGTGTTGGGTTTTCTCACTTTCCCTCTACTCTTGTTAAAATAATTTAGAAATACAACAGGAAAAGTGGTATCCCCCCATAATGACTACATCAGGCATATAGATTTAGGAATTATTAAAAACAGTGCTCACTACTGAAGCTGACAGATTTCAAAAGTCATTAGGCCATCAACTGCCACGCATATCCCCAAAAAAACAAAAACAAACTGAAATACTAGTATTGAGTGAACAGATCAATAAACAGACCCACATATAGCCCATAACCCAGTGGCATTGCTACATCAGCTGTCTCACATTTGTAGAAAGGTAAAGTAGGGTTAGGCTGCTGATCTAATAACAGCAGCATCTACTGGCCTGCCACAAACTCAGCAGCTGTGCCTGTGCTCATTCACTACTAGTCTGTGGTAGTTCCTCCTGCTGATGGGTGACAAATAGTGTAAGCATTTCTAAACAAACAAGCTGCAAATGCAGTTGAATTGTAACCAGTTTAGATTTAAGCTAGGCATAAATGAAAGACTGAGAACAGGGGTTAAGATGCATTTGTGGGCTCACAATAAGGTAACAATATCAAGTTCTAGAGAGGCAGAGTCGTGGAGTGGATCCTGACAATCAGCTTCCATTTTTCATTTCACATTAATACGTACTTGTCCCATTTAGGTCAACCATCAAGCCATTTTGAACATGTTCTTGTATGAGCTGCAGAGTCCGTTCAAATATTTCCCCTGCCCTGGCTTGTTCCACTGTGTAGGGATCACGTGGATATCTGAATAGGGCCAGAAGATCATTCGGAGAACGAGGGCGACTTGTATAAAAGTGGCACAAAAAAAAGTTATTTTACATCACTACATTACACCAAACAGCAAAATGTTTAATACTTTTGCACAGCATTCATCTATTCTAGCGAGCCTGCTATAGGGACAGCTGTAAAAACGTGAAGCATGTGCTGCACAGCCACAGCAATACCATAACATTTCTTGTATGCATCTCATTCCTTCATCCACAGTGATGCTTAACTGGAAATAAACTGCTATGTTTCTAGTTAGCAATGAGTTTAAATAAGGACATACTGCATAATCTGATCAGGTCATTCAGAAATGCTAACTTTCACTGAAAAGACTCTGCACCACCTGCAACCTATACACAGAGGGAATAAAAGAATGTCTTATCAAAAACTACACCCTTATTCAAAAAACCTTTGTGGCAGCTTATCGTGTTAATACTTTTGTTTATCCCCCTTTCAAAGTAGCTGACATTAATCTGCACAATCCACAGACATCTAACATTCATCCAATGATCCAAATTCTAATCATTTTCTTATGAGATATGCAAAATAAAAAAGAGGAATTAATTACTACAAGTGTTGCAAGTGTGCCTTATCTGGCCCGTACGGCTTTTATCGTACGGACATGCCACAAACCCGCCGAACATCGTACGATGCTCGGCGGGTTGCAGTGTTTTCAGCCAGCTTTAGTTAGTTTTGCTAAATGCTTTGAAAGCACCCTACAGCTCCAGTTTGGGGAGGTTGATAACAGATCTTAATGGGAGTATGAACTGTCATTTTAAATAAGCTGCTAGCAGGCTTCCATTAGGCAAACGTCATGTAGTGCTTGAAGCTTACAAAAGCCTGCTAGCAGCTCATAATATAGCAACAGTCATTACTTCCAGCTCATTATATAGCAACAGCCATTACTTCCAGCTCATTATATAGCAACAGCCATTACTTCCAATAAGATCTGTATTTAACCTGCTCAAACTGCAGTTAGAGGGTGATTTAAGGGTCTCAACAAAACTGCTTGAAACTGACTGAAATCTTTGGAAAAGCTTTAGAACAGCTTGCTGTACACACTGTTCCTATGCAAGTTGAATGGACAAGGCCTTAATTGACTACGGATGTCACCATTTAAGATGATTCTCTATATATATGGCTATGAGGAATCCACCAGGTAAATCAAAACACAGTAAAGGTGGTCATATACTGTGTGAAATTAGGCCTGAACTGGACAAAATTTGCACAGTAGGTCGGCACCCTTTCAGCTGGCATCCCTCGATCAGATTATTGAAGGAACCCGTCAGAAAATATTCATGGTGGCAGCAGCCAATAAGCTGCGTCCACTGTTAGAATACAAAGGGAACAGTGAGTATTCCTGGATCAACGCGTTTGTAGTGTTAGAGGAATCCGCTTTATTTTTTTTCGCTCAGCCCGTAGGTTGAAAAAAAAAAGAGCAGTGTATGGGCAGCTTTACAGTACAATCTGCTCTCTAGTATACTCATAGCACATATGTGGAGAGCTTAGACTGGTGACAACATTGTGCTGGCATCAGGAGATCTCTGCTGGTGTTTTGGGCAGCACTAAACACTTACATTTCCCCAAAATGGCACAGGAATGCAACACTTTAAAAGCCACATTCTAGAGAAACAACCCTCCAGAAGCCAGGCTGCACATCTAAAAACGGCACTGAAACTTAATTCATAAAAAGGAGTAATATGTTTGTTAATGAAATGGTAAAATTAGCTAACCTTTGGCCTTTATGCTTATAAGATCTATAATGCAGCAAGTGATCTTGAATTAGGAACACCTGCAGAAACACAACAGGGAACTACAAAAAGAGTAGATAAGAGCACATGCGGCCATTGAATCACTGGCTTAAGAGGGTCAAAACCCACTAAAGTAAAAAAACATACACAATTCCCAGTGGCCTATACAGTACATTTGCCCTTTTAGAACTAATGTATTAAACACAAAGGTGTATGAAAAACTGAACACTTTTATTCAGCAGAAATGAAACATTTTTAGCAGTCTTATCAAATTTCCATTACCTCTCAAACAAATGGGACCTTGTTGAGTTGATGGCCCTATCAACGGTTGCAATAGCTTCATTAATTGATGCAGTAACAAAGGGGTCTCCAGTACGGCTGACTTCAGGTACTACAAAAGGAAGAATGAAACATCTGATTAATTAAAAAAACAAAAACTGAAGCCACACCAAAAAGTGCCTAGTATTTCACTCGGATAAAAGCTATTGAAATTAACACACTAGATTGCGGATGGTCAGTGTAATAAATTTAGGTTGTGGAACACTTTTTAAAAAATGGTAATACAAATTTATGTTACCTGGAACTGAGTTTCCCCGCAGGGATTCCCCTCTCCAATCCTCCAGCGCTAAGTGGAGGAACGAACAGGGGAGGGGCGGGCACAGCTGGCTCTGCCTCTAGATAGGCAGAGCCAACTGTCACTCACGCAGCTGGATCTCAGCAGTAATGTCAGGATCCGTCCCGCCTGCAGTGCTCACAGTGAATTGCCGTATTGCCCGCGATATACTGAGCTTTTGGTCACGGGAGGACCCTAGTATATGTCCTCCCGTGACCCTAAAGAGAACTATGGGTAAAAACACTTACCCCATAGTTCTCTTTAAAAAAAAGATAATGAGGGGAATTTAATCAAAACTGGAGCAGGCAAAATCTGGAGTAGATTTGCTCTGTAACCAATAAGCTTCTCTCTCTCATTTTCAAATCTTACCTGAGCAAACTGAGGAGAGATGCTGATTGGTTGCCATGGGCAGGGCCGCCATCAGGGGGATATGGCCGATACACATGTAAGGGGCTCGGGCAGCCCGCCAGGGACCCATACATGAGTATCAGCCGACGGTGAAAAGCAAGGAGGCAGCCAGGCCCCCGCAGCGCCGGAGGAGGCCTGGCCCTAGCAGCGCAGGACCCCAGCATTGCCGATCCAGCAGCTTCGAGACAGGCTGGGGCCCCATCAGCACCACGTCACTTCCGGCCAGTCCGGCGGCAGAGGAGGCCAGGTGTAAAGGGCACCAGAAGCAGGTAAGAGGAGCTGGGAGCGAGGGAGGGAGATGCAGCCCTGACCAGCCCACCTGAGACCCCTGCAGAGCCCACCATAGAGTCTCAGATGGGCTGTGCAGTATCTATGGTGGGCTCTGCAGGGTCACTCTCAAGTGGGTCCTGTGTGCAGTACGTCACTAAGCCCTGCGTCCAGCGGGTCACTAAGCCAAGTCACTAAGCCCAGAGTCCAGCGGGTCACTATGCCCAGAGTCAAATTTGCCATGGGCAACTGTTCCAGATTCTCTCTGCTCCAGTTTTGATAAATTCCCCCCAATGAATCTGCTGGCATTTACTGCTCACAAACACGTAAGCCCAAACAGCTTTTTAAAGCACATGTGAATCATCTGGGCAAAGTCTTCTCCACTTTATATATTCCAGGATTTCTCAGAACACAAATCTAGTTTTACAAATGAATCATTCCATATGGAACGTTGTGTGTCAATCTACACAAAACTAATACTTAGGATTTTTTAGCTTAATCACTTGGCAAGATTTGCATCTCTTCAGGAATCTGATGTTAAAATGCCAATAATCTAAATCATAAGGGTGGTTATAGACCCTTACATATCCTGAAGTGCTATCATCCCAGACTAATAAAACCATCATTTAAAAAAAGACTTTAAAGTTTAGACTTCTCTTTAGGAGTGTGTAAAAAGTATACAACTTTCCCCTTCACTGCTGCCCATTTTCCTCTTTGTAGGACATTTTACCAATTGGACTAAACATAGTATAAACGATGTTAGATATAAGTATATATTATATCTAAAAAGTGTACAACATGACCTGTAGGTACAGGGGGATCAGTGTCTTTTTCTGTTTTATTATGTAGATATAATAGTATTACTTGTTGTTACTTACACTTATAATTATTTTAGACTAAAATACAGACCACTATATTATCTTGTTCTTAATATCTTACAACCCTTTTACTGCTGGTCCCGAAGAATTGGATTTAATCTATGAAACGTTTCAAATGTTTTATATTTATAAAAGGGGATATTACACCATTCAATCTCGCCTAAACCTTAAACCTCTAACTTTTCTGTTGATGCTGGTAGGCTGACCATCCCTGGCTCCTTATTAATCTCTGGCACCCTACTGGCTTTATTCTCCAAGTTCATTATGGTTTTACTTACCTATGGATCAAGAAAGATGATTACGCCAATCTGCTGCTAGGTTACGCGTAAGGGAATATCCGATTGCCTTATGGGATTAGGAAGAAATTTTTTTCCCTCGTTGGAGCAGATTGAACCATGCTGTATAGGGTTTTTGTTGCCTTCCTCTGGATTGACAGTGGCTAAATCATTCTGTTTAGGTTTTTCTTCTTTTTCCATATCTCTGTAGGTTGAACTTGATGGACATGTGTCTTTTTTCAACCTGACTATGTAACTTTTACCATCATATGTCATTGTCTGTTCTCACCTGTTATAGTCAGCACCATGCTAACTGAAGAATATCCAATGTTATTCCTGGCTACACATTCATATCGACCTTGGTCTGCTGGACCAGCATCTCGAATGGTCATCCCATGACGATCGATGTGAAACTTTCCACTCTCGGTTATCTGTATGCCATCCTGCAACAGTTATTTATGAAATTATTCATATGCAATCCCACACCAGTCATCAACCCAACTGTAGGTACACCATTCTGCCGAAAACAATCATGACAGTCTAATAACATCAGCGAGGGATGAGCATTAAAAGCAGCCTTAAGCTGGCCACACACCTATAGATTACATCACATAGATTGGTCCGTGATGCCTGAGGTTTATTGAAAGAAGCCAGAGGTACTCGTGTACATACATTAAAAGCAGGTATACTCTGTATGTTACCCCTTCTGGCTATCCCACTCCGCTGTCATCGCTAGCAGTTCCCAAACCCACTGACAACAGCAAAAAGTCACATCTGGCATCTTTCTTGAGCGTTAGATCACTTACAGTTTTAGCTGAGCCCTACACTCTACAAAAATACACTGAATGATGTACAACAACATACATACAAAAAGGAAAGTGCTCAGCACACCGTACTCCAGTGCTCTCACCACTTCCAACAGTCTATAACACACAAACCCCGCTCCACCGGCTGAGATGCTGCCACACTCCACCCTGTTGGAACTGGAGAGAGCAATGGAGTGCTGAACACTTTCCCTAATCTTATATTTCAGATCTGAAGGAGTCTTATGCTACTATAAGGGATTGGTTCATTGGTTTATAGTAGTCTTTAAATAAACGGATACAGTTTTACACAATGTACAGTTTTATCTCCTAATGTTGAGCACTATTTTGTTTGATGCTACGCTGGAGAGGCTTCATCTTTGGTTGCAAGAAGGATATTAACCCCCCCCCCCCAAGTAATTTAGTTATGGTTGAGCAAAAAAAGGTGAGCAATATTTTGTTGGATGAAAAACACTATTCCCTTTTGGAGTTTGGTTTAAATACTAGAAAGGATGTATGCTTATGAGTTTTACACAGCATGATCAAGATTGGAGAGGGGGGGAATAACAGAGACTGTGCTGATATTTGAGACTTTTTATGTTTGAGTCACTTTTGTAACACTATCTTTTGGGAGCTAATTGCTACATTGTGGATGATCATTTTCTAAATTATACTTTAGTTATTAGATTGTTTATTGCGTAACACTTACATTTGCATTGTTTGTGGTTGATATCAGTTTTTTGTACATCATTGTATTTTTGTAGAGCGCTGCAATATTATTAAATCTCTGATGTTCTACCAACTGTACAAGCAGTGCTGACCAGATCAGTCTGTCTGAACACTGTCAAGCTGAAGATGTGCTACTGAAATGTGAACTGCAGTGTCGTAAGCAAAATGTAGCAAACAGTACAGCTGATGAAAAAATGTCCGCACCACATACTTGTGGCTCTCAGAGTCACACTACCATTTTGCTTATAGCTCAAAAGATGAGAGGGAGGGCTCTTGCCTTAATAAATCTATTGGAAGACAATTGGATGGACAGCATTGGACAGGGAAGACACATATTTTAATAGGAAGGGCTTAGCACAAAGTCATATAATCAGCAGCAGAGATTCTGGTGACATTGCCTAGAGTTCTACAGATGGAAATGTACCTGCACATAGTTAACATATTGCAAGTTAGGGTGAAGAGGAGTATGATAGATGTGAACCCCAAAGTGTTTGCAAGTGCTTTGAAGCTAAAGGGTGGAGACTTGTTTTTTTCAGAGATGTAACAGGGAACCTGCTGTATGGCCATTAGAATGTAAAATATTTACTATAGTTTAATTTATGGACTGACATCTTCTGTTGTATATAATGTAGTAGGGTAAACAGATTAGCACTACATTTCCCAGAAGTTACCTTATTCCATGTTATTACTGGCAGAGGGTCCCCTTGGGAGCTACAAGAAATCTGAACTTCGGTGCCAACTTCTGCCGTCATGTCATTCGGCACAGTAGCGAAAATGGGTGTAACTGAAAAATAAAAGCATTAAAGCGAAACAGCATTCAGTAACCCATAAAGGACTAGAGTGCTTTAATCTAGTTGACTGACCTTTGTAGTGACGTAATGCCTGAATTATTTCCTTTTAACTGTGTGGAATTACCAGCCTGCCCAACCTAGATCCCTTTCTACCTCTTGTGCGTTGTCCAATTGAATCCTGATTGGATGGCCTTCTAGTTAGGGTATCCACAAATGTATGGACAATCAAATAGCTTTGTTTTCAGTATCAGGTGAGTTGGTTTGCCTAGAGACTGAACCGATTTGTCCCATGAAGACAGAATGTTGTGCTTAAGGAGTCTGGAGTAGAACTGAATAAATGGAACTGCCTTGAAGGAGGCTGCCATTAGTTATATGACTCTTATGCAGAACTGTGAGTTGGATGAGGTTCTGGATTGTACAGTCCGAATCTTGCAGCAATGTCAGAAGTTTTTCTTGGGAAAGAAAATATCTGGTCTGAGCCATGTCTATAAAGGGGCCCAGATACTCAAATTGATGAGTCGGTTCCAGCACCAATTTCTGAAGGTTCAGGATCCAACCAAACCTGTGTAACATCTGGAGTGTCTACATTACTTGTTGGTCAGTATTTGTGTGACTGTTCCTGCAACAGGAGGCTTTCTAGTTGTCCCATAATGGGGATGCCCTGGAAGCGTAGCAAGGCAAGGACAGGAGGTTGTAGCATAGTGGACATCTGCAGTGTGGAAGACAGAAATAGAAGGGCTATACATTGGTAGTGTTGTGTGTCGACAGCAAACTGAAGGTAGTGTTAGCACGCTGGAAAGATGGGGACATGAAAGTATAGATCCCTGATGTCCACAAATGCTACAAAGTCTACCTGATGAAGGTAGGCTATGACAGACCTCGTGGATTTTATGTGAATCGTTTGGAATGGAATGAAGACATTTAGGGTCTGCAGATCCAAGATGAGGTAAATGCCCCCTTTTGGTTTTGGAACAGTGAAAAGATTGGAGTAAAACCCTGGAAACATTTCAGCCTTGGTACAACACCTTGGCTCTAAAGATCTAAAAGAGCAGTACGGAGGACTGCTAGTCAGTACAGAGACTGAGGTAGTTGAACAACATGAAGTGGGGCGGGCTAGAGAACTAAACGTCCGCTAAGGTCAACAGATCCCCCTACTTTGCATCCCTTCATGACAAAGAGAAGGAAATCTGTAGGCTTGGAGTTTGGTTTTGAGATCCAAGGTCTGCAATTGAACTGGCCCCCTTTTTTGGGTTTGGCCTTCATGAAGTTGTCTAAAGATGCACCAAAGAGAAGTTCCTCAGCAAGCGTTTCTTACAATACTGTTGGCACATTTTAGCCAAAGTATTCACAGACAGGAGACTTATTTGGGAAACAAGATGGACAATATTTACTATCCCATCTAAGCAACAGTATAGGGTTACATACATAAACTCTAAAGATAAATGATCAGTACAAAGTAAAAAAAAGGATTAGAAAAATATAAAATGACTAGTAAAAAGTACAAATGGTTAACATTTTTTCATTAGAGAAAAGACATTAATCCAACTAGGACAATATAAAAAAACTGAAGCATGCTGGTAGTGTGATGGGTTATACATGACTAGATAGCAGCTTTTTTTTTTATTTGCTAGTGTCCAATTCCTCCTGAAGGAAGCAGTATAACCCAATTGTCTAAGAAAAACTGAATCCTGCAGTGGGTGAACAGGCGTGTACAGACAAGGTTTCGTTACAGACTGTTCCAGTTTATAATAAACGAGAATATATATCTCGGTAATATAAGTATGTGGCTTTTTTAATTTGTTTTTTGAGTCATAAATGTTGTGTTTCACTTTAACGTTGTATTCAGATGACTAGTTAGGATTACAGAGAGCTGGCTGCTTGCCACCAGTACACACAGTCTGGTATCTCATTCCTATTTAACATCCAGTACAGAGAAGCTTGAGCAGGATACAGGGGTAGCTGAGACTCTTACCTCTGGCTTGTACAATCAGTTGTGCTGCGGAGCTCTTAGACCCAACAATGTTAACAGCTTGACATTCATACTGGCCCTGGTCATGCAGTGCCACACGAAGGATTCTCAATGTCCCAGAAGGTAAGACCTGATGTCTTCTGTCAACAGACAGGGGATTTCCTAACAGAGCACAAATGTATTACCAAATAAACACAGACAACATGATCAAATATACAGCTCTTAGTAATTTATTTGATATTAATCTCAGACGGATTAGACTTGAATGAGGAATATGAGAAAGAACATGATACAGTAATAAGCCTGAGTACATTCTGTAAAAAGCAGAGGTTAATTCTCAACAAACAGAAAGCCAACTGTAATTGATAGCTAAGATAAGACAGAAGAATAATTAAAAGAGTGGACCAGCAGGGTAAAGAGTCTGGAAACAAAATGTTTTTTAAACTGTTCAGAATGCATAACATCATAACTAACCTCCAGGCAGATGATCTATAGCCCTTTCATACAGTGATGTATTAATATAACAATAAATGCATTTTGAAATACAGCTAGTAAAACTACCTGAAGCTGTCTATATATTAGCCGGCTTTAATTCCCTACACTGCAGAGCTGAGGCTATGAGAGGGATGGCCAGCAGTATAATCCAAAAAGGGCACTTGTCAATTTATCAAAAAGGAAGGAAAATTCACAAACTTTCCTTACCCTTTGCCCCCCATCTCCAGAGATGTAGCCCACCCTCACAGATCTATACCTACTTAGATCTTGTGTCAGGGCCCACCACATTGCTGATATTGCACCTGATACATACCTGATACATACACACTTTGGCCCCATAAACTTCTGTCGGGCCAGGAGACAGATGGTTTCCTCTCATGACTTTAAAAAATTGCACATAATGTGCTCATATAAAATGATTTCCAAGTGCTTGGAAGTTATGTCAGTAGTTCCGGGTGGGTGGAAGCTGGAGACTGGTACAGATGGGCTCTTCTCCAGCTCTTCAGAAACCAGTTGGCACTTTATCTACACTACTTTTTTCTGTTAATTTTGTATAGAGTAAGAAAAGATTGGCAACGCTATCGGGTTTCTTTCTTCTGTCTGTGTCCCTGCTGGGGAGACTCACCCTCTCTGTGTTCTGGTGACTACTGTCACTGCAAATATTGTGAGCTGACACCAGAACAATACTAGAGGGGAAATAATCCAATGGGGACACTTGTTGCGGTGACCACTACCTATACCCCTCACTTTGGAGACGATTCCTTTGTTCCCAACGGTACCACCATGGGCAGTGCACCTGGATACTCAGTAGATTATGGGTGATGTATTTGTATGCCAGTTCTTCCATAGGTAAGCCCTGTCATGACAGAACATAACGTAACAGAACTCTGATTGGACAGCAAAGGCCAGTGGTGTGGGTGACAAAATTAGATGCTCTGAAATAAAACTGGGTTTTAAAGTTGTATCACAGCTGGATTCAAAACTACCAAAGTGGAAGCATTATAGGGTTGCCAAAGCAGACTCCATAATCAAAGTCCATTGGTGGGAGCATATCTTCTAAAGCATTTTGCTCACTGAAAATGTAAAATCCCTTTAAAATACAATGCAAGGATCTGTCTGGCAGTAGCTGTGAGAGATTCTGTCTAGTGAGAAAGTCGATCTTTCAATTCTATGTCATAGCACAGGTTTTTTTAATAAAAGGTTAAATAAGGCCAATAATTTTGTGCTGTCTGGGATTTAGCACACATGTATAATCCACTTCTTAATTCTTTTTTGATAACTTACTGGTGTTTAAAAAAAAAAATACAGGAAAAGCCTCAAAGCAGTCATAACACTATTAATCTAAACAGCACTGTAATGTCTTGGCCTAAGTAAATGGTCTCACTGTTAAGCCATTTGTGGCTTCCTGATGAGGGAAGTGCAGGAAAAATGAACTTCTTGGATGATTTGCTATTGAGTTGCACTTAAAATACTACATGAAGCCTCTTACCTCCTTTGGTCCAAGCAATTACCGGCTGTGGATTTCCTTGAGCCTCACAATGGAAATCCACACTATGCCCTTCAAACACATTCCGGTCTTGGGGAACAACAGTGAACTGAGGAACAGCTGAAAAGACAAACATATATGTATTTATATAAAAATGTAATATGCAGGCCTTCTTATTGCTTTGCTCTATTTCTCTTACATACTTCATATAAAGTGAATGTTGAGGCACGAGAATAAAGACATAGTTCAGTATATGGCCAGGTATATGCACAAAAAAACCTTCCAAAATAAACTGTACAAGTACCACAAAATGGCCCTCTAAAATCAGGTCACATGATCCTGCTGCCATGCTTCCGATTTAAAAATAATGCAGCCTAGGAAAAGTGGTTGTGGCTGAGGCTTAATACGGAAACATCTAATGAAGTTACATGGGAGGATATTTTCTTGCAAAGCACTCAATAAGCATGATGCAAGTACAGCAGATTGTCACAAGGGGTGGGTAGCTGGGAAGCAGGAGTTGCCGTCAGTCAACCTGCTGGAGCTGCCATTCAGCCTATGAAAAGTCACATGGAGCATTTCCAGGGGCAAAAAAAGGAAGTAAACAGCCTCCTCAAAGGAGAACTGCAGAGCATGTAGGCTGAGAGTGGCAACTCAAAAGACCGAGAATCAACTGCAGTAGCGTTGCCACTCAGAATAAGGAAAAACATTAAAATGGCAGGCTCAACCTGGTATTTACTATTATTATATAGGTTTTATATAGCACCAACAGTGTGCATAGTGCTTTATGAGTATATACACACACACAAGATGACAAGGTTAAGGACACGGATAGATAATGTAGTTTTAGAGAGAATGAAGTTTTAGAACAAAAAATAAGACAAAAAAATGGGTTTACAGATGCTTTCATATTTTGTTACTTTACAAAGCCACCTTGGGGCAATCTAATGCGTTCTATACACTAGCAAAATATTTGCTCCTTTATAAAAGCCAGCATTTAAAAGAAAGAATGAAACCCTGCTGTCCAAGAGATTTAACAGGAAGTTAGAGGAGATCTCCCAAAGTAAAGGGAATTTCCCTCTTAGATAATTGTCCGGGAACAAGTGTCCTGATTGGAAGATTTTTGCCCTAATCTCTGTCTCAGTGACAATGGTCACCATTGCAAACAGAGGCATGAAGCTCCCGAGTGGAGGCTACAGATCACAATGAAAACTCGACAAAAGTTCAAACTCTTCCCTACTCAAAAAAAGGTTCTACCTAGAGATATACTTTGATATAGCACTCTCCAATAAATCATTATTTACAGTTTACATGCAATCTCCAAAGTAAAGGTGCCCATACACCTTACGATTATCGGACGAAACTTTTTGTCCGATGATCGAATAGTCGTACGATGTTCGTACGGCAGCCCCATGCCCCGATGATCGCAAGAATCATTTAGCCGTAATTAACCAAAAGCACCTGGACGAAATGCGGTAATTGATTTGCCATATTTTCGTTAGCGCAAGCGCAGTGTACATCGTACGACTTTTGACGGACGGAAACGCCAGCAACCTTACGACAATCGTACGATCTAGCAACGTTTTCAAACATGCTTGACCGTCAAAAGTCGTACGATTGTACAGTATTGTCGGTCGGACACTGCAATGCACACATACGATTATCGGACGAAAAGTCGATCGCATACGATTATCGTCCGATAATCGTAAGGTGTATGGGCACCTTAAGACGATCCTGAATCAGCAATGAAGATAATTAAAAGAGCCCCCCAGCAGAGAGAGTGTTGATCTTCTACTGTGGATAGGATCCAGCTGGCTGATGTAGGAGTCTGATTTAGCAGAATATGTATAGTGGAGGGATAGTGATGTAAACAAGACTGCAGCTGGGTCAGCCAAATGACTCAGGGCCTTGTAGCGCTAAATGCCAAGTTTCCACAGTTT